CACTGCATGGTACCAGCTCAACTTGCCTCGACTCTACCCGCCTTTTAGTTTTCCATCTGGGAGAAGTTGTACATATACCTGCTACCTGGTAACTTTTTTCATATCACCTCCGTTGAGGTTCCAAGCGAGCTGAGTTGAGCTGAGGTGATACTTAAATGTGACATGAAAACACAACAGACTACTGATTGGTCAGAGAGAATCGTCACTATTCACTGTATCATCATTGCACGCGCCAGACAGAGAAAGTTTAAATTTTACAACTTTCGTATGTTATTTCATCACTAAATTCACTTCTGAGTAGTTTTAAGGCGAGAAATCAACTGCTTAGATTTCGAATATTGACAGTGTTACGAAAATGCTTTTAACGTTTTCATAGTTGAGTTTTTGGATCCCTGAGGGAGCTGTTATACACAAAATAATGCTTCATACCTGCAGAAGAGAACACATGTTCTATTACAGACAGGGGCGTAGGAGCGACTCTGTATGGAGTTCCGAAAGTGCCAGAAGAATAAATAAATAATTGTGGAAATATATGGAAGAAAGAATGAATGAATAAAAGAAAAAATAAATAAATGCAGAAATATAAGAAAGAATTAATGAGAATTAATAAAAGAAGAAACAAATAAATGCCGAAATATAAGAAAGAATATGAATAAATACATACATTTGCTTTTGCCTTTTCCTTAGAAAACCTATTGTCATTGCCTTTTCGTTGCGAGCCCAACCTGTCAATCAATGTGTTTTGGCCTGCCCACTAAGTCCAACTAATCAATCATAGAAGTGTTTAAGGCAGCTTCCCTCTGCTAATTCCAGTCATGCAATTTGGCTACCAGCCTGTTGTGCTTTTTGGAGATTTTTCATGCAAATACTGGGCGGACAATGTCTTACTATGTGGTTAATTGTACTAAAAGACCCTCCAAGAAGCATGTGCTCCAGTTGGTAAGTGAAATCCTAGCATATTAATGTGTTGTTAGCAATAATTAGCAGGTATCAATACATTACATTAAGTCGCTAGCTTAGCCGTTTAACTAGCTAATTAGCCAGCTTCAAGCGAGACAAGCTGTGCTAATGATGCTCAAAAAACAATAGTGTAAGATACATGGTTAATGCCGTTTTTGAAGAGTCCTGCACAGAAATCAAAACTAATTAGTGATTGCATTTAATGTGATAAAACTTTGGAACAAAAGTAATCAGAGTTGATGGTGCACCGCATTTAGGTAACTGTTAGGTAATGATAGGTAGATAGATTTATTTTGTCACACTATAACAGGTTATATAGTGAAATTGAGTTTGTAACTCCCTTCTGCTAAGTAGCAGACAATGTACAAAGGATGAATTTGAGCTCAAGAGTCTGATCGCTACATTTTCCATTCATACCTTTACATCTTAACCAGTCTGTAATCTGCATTCGGCTTTATTAACCAAAATGAGCTGTCATCCAGGCTGTGCGTGCAGTTACACAGATCAGCCCTGGTGTCGGCGCTTGTCACAGTCACAGAGCTGGATGCAAACATTTAGAAAATCAGGCAAATGTCTAGTTTAAGGCTTTATTGTTCTACTAATACAACTGAAATCCATTGAGTGCACAACATGGCACTGGTGGCTTGCTGGAAAGCAGCCTGCGTCGATGTTGATGAAAAGGGCATTGCTTTCTTTTGATGGACATTAGCCTGTTTCTTTCACATTGGTTATATTTGTTTTATAGTGATGTCCGACCGTAAGTCCATAAACAGAATGTTGCCGGTGAAACTAATCTTGGCTTTGACTCAGCAGTTACCAGCTGTTATTTATTCAGCAAACAATAATTTCTGAGATGCACAGAGAGAGAGAAAATATGGGTGGATGAAACAGTCCTATTGGGCGTTATGCATGTCGCACAGCATCCTCTGTATGAAGGCTTACCCAGCTTCAACAGCTAGCTGCTCCCAATGTGAAAATGAATGAATCACTCACTGAGACAACCCGTTCCTCCCGAGTCATACACACGATTATGTCTTATGAACGAAACGTTCTTTGAACGACACAACACTATTTTACTGTGCTTGTAAATATCCACCGTGTGCACGGCCTGTTATGTAATAGATAACTCTCTCTGTATTTCTCTGTGGTGCCTCCGGCATTGTATCGTTGTGAACATTATGTTCATAGATGCTTTAGGAATAATCGTATTATATTGGCTGCCTGTGCTACTGCAAATCGTGGCTGGGCAGTAAGCGTGATATTTTAAAGTGATCTTATCAATACATTCATGGAGATTTAAAAAGGAAAATAATTATATTAAATAGAAATAGCTAAATTACAAATAATCAACCAGCAAAGCAAATTACATTCCCTAGAAATAACCTGTTGCCCAGTAGCTGTTTCTAACCTGATGAACAGCAGATTAATTATATTATTAAATATATTTTACTTTTACTTGAGTAGGTTTGTCATTTTTTTTTACTTTTTATGGGAGTAAATGTACTTTTCCTTGAGTAAAGGTTTTTAGTAGCTACTCTACCCACTACTAGCCAGTGGTACCAGTACTAATGCATGGTGAACATGAGACAGGCAGCAGAGATGAAAGCAATAGCAGAACAGAGCCAAAGCCAGCACTGTCCAAAGCACTAGTTTATAGTAAGATTGATAATGATATGATATTTATTTATTTATTGTATTCAAGGGCTCAACTGAGGTTATCACTGTACTTTTGAGAGTTAAAGAGCTGTTTCTAGTTTTGAAAATGTATTTTAAAGGTTAATTTAGTTATGTACTCCACTCGCATAATATTCTCAAGAATGCAGGAATAAAGGTCTCTAAAGACCCAGAGGCCCTGACAAATGCTTTGTCTGGAGAGTGGGCTGACCAGGGAAAAACTCAGGGAGTTAGTAAAAAGACTTTGTTAGTCCAATGGCATGTCATCAGAGTTTGCACTGAAGACAGTTCTGTATTCACAAACATTTGTTACAAGGAGAGTCAGGGCCAAGTGATACACAGGAAATATCAGCTCACAAGTGTAACGTTAGGATAACTAAATACATTTGTACTGTGGCTAGCTACATTAACTAGCATCTGTTCCATGATTTTTATGGTATGTAGTCAGTGGAGTTTTGTTCTAGTTATAATATACTCCATCTCTCTGACTGTGCACGTGAGTCTTAATAATAACCCCTCCTCAGTCTGTTCTCCATCTTCTCTCACTGTAAAGACCCTCTTTCAGCCACACTAATAAGTACATTCTGTTTTCAAAAGTCATTAGAAATGAGCATTTTAGTGCTTTATTTAAAGAAAATCGGGGAGCCATGCCTCCAAACTCACCTAGCATTTCAGTGTCCCCCCCCAAGTTCAAAGTTGCTTCTATGCCCCTGTGATAGCTTGGGGGGAAAACTGCTCTGTAGTCTGGTGGTGCAGCAGCTGAAAATTCTTTATCTCTTCCCAGAAGGCAGCAGAGGAGGTGGACTGTTGACAAAATTGTCTATCAGAACGAAACCAACGTGGTAGATAACGAATCTGCACCAGTGTGTTCACTGTGGCTTTACTGTAGTGATGGCAAGTTCGAGTCTTTTGACAGACTCGTTTATTCAAATCTCGTTCATTAAAGTGAACTAATCTTTTTTTGAGTCATTTCGTTCATTTCGTTCATTTGAACTAGGCTGGTTATTGTGGCGCTGCAGCCCTCTAGTGGGCGATTAAAAAAGTATAATGCACAAATTCACCTCTTGATTACTGTATATCATCATTATATAAACCCCCCTGGGCCCACAACCAAATTCAAACCATGTAAAAAACACAGAAATATGTTGTCAATATGTAATCACCACTACTCCGTCTCAATCCTTCCAATTTCACAATCTTTCCAGAGTATACAACCAGACCAGCCATATAAAGGCTTATGTATATAATTACTATCATTATCTCTAAGGTGCTCATTCATACAGTAGCCTAACGTCCCTATCCATGAGTAAAATATTAATATCAGATTTGCAGTAAATTGAAGTAATAAGCTTGATACACTATATGAATAAACACACTCTTATTAAAATTCAACCAATTTAATACTAATCTGAATCAAGCCACCAAGTTCTTAAAGAACTCCAGGACAGAGAGAGGAACAAAGAAATAAACACATGTAAATGCAGCAGTTTGGCAGTTCTGGACCCAGAATGGGCCACATCAGGTCCTGATTCTGAAGACAGAGAAACACACATGAGCACATCGCTATCAAACACTGCAGGTTGTTCACCAGTCACGAGCTATGAAACAACAGCACGGCTCTGTTGGTAAATAAAAAGGAAAAGTTTAGTTGCGTTCTCTGGCGGATCTGGATCAGCTGTTAGCTGTTTACAGGGCTAACGCTAACGTTGCTACGTGGCTGTGTTTTAATGTTTTAATGACCGGGTCTGTTTGTTTTGGAGAGGAGACGACCTCTGAGGTAATTCGGCTCCAGGTAGAATCCTGTCAGGGCTCTGAAGTGGAGCGGACCCAGAACAACTCTCATCAGCTGTTAGCTGTAATGTTAAACACTAGCAGGACTAAAGTTGCTGTACGGCTGTGTTAAAACTATAACTTGGCACAACATCACTGCGCTGTAATAACATTATGCTTTATTAAATGTCACAGAATTGTTAGGAATGTGGTTTTTGTGTTCATGTCTTTCCTTTTTTAGTCTGTTTTTGGTTCTGTGTTTCTCTGTGTAGTCTTGTTCAGTTAGTTCCTAGTCCTGTACATTAGTTAATATCTTTTGTGTTTACTCCTGGTCTTGTGTTCCCTGTTTAGTCTTGTGTATTACCTTGTTCATTTACTGGTTCTGTTTAGCTCGTACTTGTGCATTCTTGGTTATTCACCCATGACTGCTTGTCTAAGTGTTCTCTCTGTTACCCCCTGTTGTCTCTGCCTGCCTGCCTCTCTTTGTTCCTGCTGTCTCTCTGCCTCCCTCGTTAGCCTCATGTCTGTCACCTGTGTTGCTCCTGCCCTGCTCGTTATCCCTGGTATATAAGTGTGGTCTTTCTGTTCAGCCCTTGTCTGGTCATTGTTGGTGTTACTCCCTGTCAGTCGTGGCTTCAGTCGCCCAGTGTTTCATCTTTCTATTTTCTGCTCTTGGTGTTTTGGATTACCTGTGTTGGATTTTGGTTTCGTTTCTCATTTGGCTTTTTATGGACTCAGCCACTCAGTATGTAAGTGTGCTCGCTTTTTGTTTGTTAAATAAATCACCTTTTGAACCGTACCTCCTCTGCCTTGGGTCCTCCAACCTGCTCAACCCACACCCACCATAACAAAAATAGATATTAGATATAATGTCAGTCAGTTGGCTGTCAGTTACCTGACAGCCAACCTTTCACGCATGCGTGAAAATGAATGAATCACTCACTGAGACAACCCGTTCCTCCCGAGTCATACACACGATTAGGTCTTATGAACAAAACTTTCTTTGAACGACACAACACTACTTTACTGTGCTTGTAAATATCCACCGTGTGCACGGCCTGTTATGTAATAGATAACTCTCTCTGTATTTCTCTGCAAAATGCTAAAATGGGTTGCTGTAAGAGCTAAATGATAAATATACAACAAAATTGAGTGTTAAAGTGGTGCCTCCGGCATAGATTATTGCACATTGCCTGTCAGCATAGATTATTATTGCATATTTGACTAAATAGAAACAAAGATTAATATTGCACATTTGAATAAATAGTGTATTGTTTAACAAAGTTAAATAAATTCAGGTTAAATCCTTCTAAATGGGACAACTATGCCACCTGCTATTATAAAGTTGTACCTGCGTCAAGTAACGTTCAATAATGTAAAGGATTATGGATAATCCTCCAAGCAACAGAGGATTTGCTATTAGGTAAGGTGTCTGTGAATATCCATGAACTAAACAATGTTAACTAAGTTGAAAACTACATAAAGGTTGAGCTAGCCTTATTTTGTCAAATATTTAGTTCGCCATGTTTAAATGAAGTTAAGCATTAATTTTGTGTTCTCTCCAGGGTAGCTTGCTAACTTTAACACGATGCTGTTTTTCCAGACAGATTGTTGCTGCTGTTTGTCCACAAGATGATGATTCTAAACTATTGTCCTTTGTCATAAATGCAGGTATGTTGCAGTGTGTTGTTCCTAAGAGTGTAGTAGTATTTAAACATTAAGTTTATGCATTTTCTGTTATTTGCCTCTTGTATGTTGTCATGTAACCAAGTTACATAACTGTTAGCATAAAATGGAAAAATACATATAAAAACGTAACGTTTTCATGCATGTTGTTCTGTTCTCACAATTTAAGAGGGACAAATTGTGTTACTTCATTTATTTAGTTTACTTATTTATCAAATAGTGAATTTAAATCCTCTATGCGACCAATGTGTTGTTGTGTCAATGTATTGTACATTGGATTTGCCACTAGACAGAGCATGCAATATTTGTCCACATGAGATGACGATTCTACACTATTGTCCTTTGTCCTAAATGCGAGTAAATCTGCTGTTAGTACCAACCTGACGAGCTCTGAGAGATTCATTTAGACAGGTGACATACCACAGAGATCATACATGCACATTGCTACCCTAACTGTTACATGCTATAGAGATTATCATGCTGAGGTTATCTCAGAGTATAGCAGGTTTATGGCATATAGGAGGAAACTGCTTGTTCGTGTGCTTGGTCAATAATTTTAGACCCATTTTGTATTTTTTGGTGCCAGGGGAGCTGATTGCAGAATCCATCCAGAAGTGGAGCACCTGTGTCCCCCTCTACCCAATGTAAAAGTCCCAGCTTCCAGCTTGTGCACCTTGCTGCTTTGCTTAACCTTTTGTTTCTACTTTTACTCCACAATATATGAACACTACTGATTAGGTTCCCATCCATAGGTTCTATCATTATAATTACTGTTACAACACATTATTTGTAGTCATACAAAACAACTGTTAATTTTGTAACCTTTTAATATTGATGATTTCATGAATGCAAAATATGGTTTTGTGTATTGGAATTCAGACTAAATGTATTTGGAATAAAATTATATTCTTCAATGATCAGTTTACAGTAAACAGCTTTAAATGAAAATAGCATGGTGGTATTTATAAGTTAACATTCTGCTTATTTGCTAGAAAGAAAATGAAAAGCTGATGTCCAAATAAAACTAGCATATAACATTTTTTTTAGAGACAAATGTGACATTCACTGAGAAGTTACACTATGTGCAAAACAAAGAATTATCTGGACACTGAATAGTTTTGAAACCCCCAAGGAGGTGTAATTTATTGCAACCTCTGAGAAGATGAACCTATTTACAACTGGTGCATTCGATCAGCTCTGAGACCTCAGTGTGGAACAGGGGGGGAAAAAAAACAAGAACTTGAGAAATGTGAGTATCTACAGAGAACTTGCGGCACTGGGTTAGGAGCAACGACGATCAAGCAAGGGTTGACTGGAGAACCGGGGTAGAAGAATTGTTGGAGATGAGGCTGATTGCCAGCAGAGGTGCAGGTGTGGGTCGTTGGCTGGGCTCAGGAGCAGAGGGAGAGTGAGAGAAAGCGCACACACAGGGGAGGAGACACAGGGAGGCAGGCAGAATGGAGAAAACCAGGGAAAAAACAGAATCACAGACAAAAAGGGAGAAAAAGCCAGGACACTCACTGTCAGCTGGGCTGCCACCACAACAATCCAAGGTCTCTGCAGCTGTCTGGGCACCAGGTGGGATATCTGATCCACACTGTGACTATGGGAAAAAAATAAATGTGAAATAAATGCATCAGGTGTTGGAAAATATAAAGTTAACCATAAAAGATGGTTGAGGTATATGTTGACAATATGTTATGTAAATTATGAGTGAAAATAGCGATCTGATATGGGTCCGGTGCACGGGTGCACAAAAATGGCTCGAGAGCGCCCCCTAGAAATTTTCAAAACCAAAGCCATTCTCTTTGGCCTACATTCACCAAACTTGGTAGGTATATGTATCGTGTCCAGACTTAAAAATAAGCATCTTGTAGCCATACCCTAAACCCAACAGGAAGTCATTTTGGATTGAATGTGCGAGGATTTTCCATTTACACCCTCCGTATTTTAACAAACTCCTCCTAGGGATTTGATCAGATCGACTTCAAATGCGGGTTGTGCCATGCCAACACCCTTGCGATGTTAAATTGCTAAGCTTTTTTTGATTGATCAAATTGCGTGTCCATGGCATAGCGTGGAGTTCAATTTTGATGATTCGCCATGAAAAAGGAAACTGTGTAAATCGGCTGAAAATGGTCAGATCTGCCCCAAACTTCACGTTTGATAAGCGTCACGCCCTGAAGACATCTACATGCCAATATCCAGTTGTAGTGAATGTGCCACCTACTGGCAACAGGATGTGACATGTTTTATTTGTTGCGATACTGCTCCTAGCAGGATGATCCGATTTGGCTCAAAACTGTTTTCTGACGCCAGCGTCTTTTTTCAGTTCATTCCAATGGGAGCGGCGCATTTTTACTAGCTGGTAAAAATGCCAGGAGCGTGACAAGGCGCTGAGTGTCTTTTCCGCGCTGGGCGCTGAGCGTTTTTTTTCGGTCGCCGAGAGTTGAAAAAATGCTGTGCTCGTCACTGTCACTTTTTACCCGGCCATCCAATCACAATGCAGGAGGGGCGGGACAAACACCGCACCGAGCACATCCAATCTTGAACGAAACGATGTGCCTACTCGCCAAGGTGTGTCCTCGCTCATGAACCCACATACGAACAGTCTGTGCTCTCATGTTTCAGCGTTTCCATGGCAACACGTTATTTGCCATGAAACAGGAAGCTGAATTTTTAGTGGCTTAGGATGCTTGAAATCTCACAAAACTTTACCAAAACATCACAATGTGTGTGTTCTGTTGTCTGACACTGTTCAAGGGCATGTGTTTGGAAAAACAGCTCTATAGTGCCCCCTACAAGATTTAAAATTTCATACTATTACACCGTTCCTTAACGAACCCAAAACTTTCCCAGAGTTATATGTTGGAGGAGCAGCAGCTCTGTTTGGGATCCTTTGGAAACGGCGCAGGGGAAAACAAGCAGATGCACTGGTTAAAGTGCGACAGCGGGGTTTTCGCACTGCGCTCCCTTCAATCCACCTGGCGAATCTCCACACTCTAGCCAACAAAATGGACAAACTGCTTCTCCTCAACAATACTAACTCGGACTTCTGCAGATCTGCCGCCCTCAGTTTCACCGAATCCTGGCTCACCGAGCACATCCCGGACAGCGCACTTCACCTACCGGGATTTAATCTCATCCACGCGGATTGCGAAAGGGAGCTCACGGGAACAACAAGGGGAGGCGGACTCTGTTTCTACATAAACGAAGGTTGGTGCACAGATGTCACAGTGTTGGAAAAATCATGCAGCCCTCACATAGGGCCATTATTTATAATCTGTAAACCTTTTTATTCACCACGGGAGTTTTCCTCGTTTGTCCTGGTCGCTGTTTACATTCCACCTCCACCTGTGTTAGTGAGGCATTAGTACACCTGGCTAACCAGATAACTAACGCTGAGAAAAAACATCCTGACAGATTTTGTAAGCCTTTTCAGATGAAGAATAAAAAACATAGGATAACTGGGTAAAAAACCCAGTCAGATATTGAATCCAAGTGCTTACACATAGGGCCCAAATCCTTAGCCTGATGGTCTGAACTTATAGCTAAAGCGATATGGGGTACAGCTTCACCCTGCAATTTATACCATGTCATCTGTTCCTCAGTGAGTTCAACAACCGCAGCCCCGCCTTTTCCCACCAGGATACAACTAGAATTTATATCCCACTTGAGGTCAATGATTTCATTGAAAAATGCCTGCTGATAAATTTCATCCCCATCCCTATCATAGAAAAGGGTCACATGGAGCGGGTCCAAAGGAGGGGAGTAGGGGTGTAGCTTTAGGATTCAGGGTCGCCAGTCTCGATACAGGTGCTGTATTCCGCCTGCACATGCAGGATCAGTTGTCAGTAGGCCTCAATATATGTCAGCCCATATTCCTGGAGCTGTGGGAGACACATCTGCTGAGAGCAACATCTGAGAAGTTGATTGCATTATAGAGATCGAGCAGTTCACAGTATAACCATTAGGAAAAGTCACCACCAGCCCTTGAGGTCCACACAAAATGGATGCACCGCATTTGATAAGCACATCTCTTCCCATCAGATTTGCTGGGCATAAGGGAGAAGAAATATATGAGTGCATAAAAGTCTGATCCGCAACCCTGGTAGGTAGATGTCTGGTGAATGGCAGGTTTTCAGGTTGTCCCGAGAATCCAACTAATTCCACTCTTGAGGATGACAGCTGTGATTTAGGCACATCGCAGTTGATGGTGGAATAGCATGCCCCTGAGTCCACAATAAATTGGAGTTCATCGTCATTTACCCTCATATGCAGGTAGGGGTCTGCCAGACCTTCTGTGGGGTTCTCAGGCCTCTTCAGTACTGTTCCCCGTGCTCAGCCCAGTCCACTTGAGGGTTGCTGCTGTTGCATATGGCACCTGATGCTCTGAGGTGGTTGAGGTGGTGGACCTTGAAAACGTGGCCCATATCCATCTCTAGGGAGAGCTATCTGACCCCTTTGTCCTGGCATTGCCCCATATGGACACATGTTCTTCTAGTGATTTAGATCACCACAATTAAAGCAGCCATTGTTTGGTAGCTATCCCCTGAATCCTCCGCGACCCCTTCCCCGACCCCTGAAGCCTCCATGTTGCCCCCCAGGTCCCCCATGATAAGGAGGGTGATTCGGGACCCACGGTGGTGTGGGATATAGGTCAGGAGTGGGTGCACCCCTGATGGGTGGCTGCTACTGTTGAACCATCTGAGTTGCAGACTTTCTGCCTCCTTTCTTTGCCTCATTTGCCTTATTTCTAGCTTCCTCCAGTTGTAACTTTAATAGCTGTACCTAAGGAGAATCTAAGTCACCTTTTTGTTGAGCTTTCTTATCTCTGTATCCACCGTGTTCCAAATTATTATACAAATGATATTTTACACTGATTTTCCTACATAGTCGATGCAAATGACAGTCAGTATAATTTTCAAGTCACCAACTTTTAGGGTATAAGTCGAATTTCATTGAACAAACCACCCAATGAAAACAGTATTTTTTTCAAAAATAAAAAACTGAATTAATTTGTTGAATTTTCAGCATAAGGAGATCATTTACTGAAATCAAAAGCGATTTAAATCAAACACATCTTAACAGGGCAAGTTACATGTTAATATAGGATCCCTTGTTTGATATCACCTTCACAATTCTTGCATCCATTGAACTTGTGAGTTTATGGAGAGTTTCTCCTTGAATTTCTTTGCAGGATGTCAGAATAGCCTCCCAGAGCTGCTGTTTTGATGCAAACTGCCTCCCACCCTCATATACAGTGGGTACGGAAAGTATTCAGACCCCTTTAAATTTTTCACTCTTTGTTTCATTGCAGCCATTTTCCAAAAATCAAAAAAGTTCATTTTATTTCTCAGTAATGTACACTCAGCACCCCATCTTGACAGAAAAAAACAGAAATGTAGAAATTTTTGCAAATTTATTACAAAAGAAAAACTGAAATATCACATGGTCATAAGTATTCAGACCCTTTGCCGTGACACTCATATTTAACTCAGGTGCTGTCTATTTCTTCTGATCATCCTTGAGATGGTTCTACACCTTCATTTGAGTCCAGCTGTGTTTGATTATACTGATTGGACTTGATTAGGAAAGCCACACACCTGTCTATATAAGACCTTACAGCTCACAGTGCATGTCAGAGCAAATGAGAATCATGAGGTCAAAGGAACTGCCTGAAGAGCTCAGAGACAGAATTGTGGCAAGGCACAGATCAGGCCAAGGTTACAAAAAAATTTCTGCTGCACTTAAGGTTCCTAAGAGCACAGTGGCCTCCATAATCCTCAAATGGAAGACGTTTGGGACGACCAGAACCCTTCCTAGAGCTGGCCGTCCGGCCAAACTGAGCTATCGGGGGAGAAGAGCCTTGGTGAGAGAGGTAAAGAAGAACCCAAAGGTCACTGTGGCTGAGCTCCAGAGATGCAGTCGGGAGATGGGAGAAAGTT